ATCAAAACTTCAAGGATTATCCAAATACCCTAGAAGACAAATTTTTATAATGTTAACTTAACTTAAGCATCATGTTCTGTTGACAGTGAAGTCATGTAAAATGCGAAATCATTGTTGCACTCAAAGAATACCTGCAAAAATATCGGTTCGAAACCCTGTGTGTGTGTCAATAGCATGGCAACAGAGTTTCTAATATATAAAATCAGTTTTTCTCAAATTTATAATTGATTTTTTACTGGTACAAAACCTGACTGTAGTCCAACAATTATATACGAAATAGTTCATATATAGGTCATAGATCATTGTTTTCATACAATATTAATATTATGTCTAAGTAGAATACCACACTGAGTTTCATATTTTTAAGAGATAAGTTATTTTACTTAGCACTTCTTTTATATTTTATAACTTATATTTTAGCTTATATATATTTTTCCATTACAGATGTTATTAACATACTCCCCAAACAGAGCGCTCAACAAATTTATTGCACAATAAGCGATCATTAATACAACTATAAAAAATCAACCACTTACACAAAAAAGAAAAAAAAAAGCAAGTGCAGCTAAAAAACAAAATTTTTTTACCCAATGACCAATTTCTGCAAATAGTGAACAGCTGATCGTGTTGGTAGTAACTGAGCGCCAAAACCGGTGAATGTGATCAACTTCAGCACCAAAACAAATTGAAGAAAAACTACAATTTCTTTGCAGACTTAACGATAAGTAAATAAACAAAAACTAACAACAAAAAAGTACAAACACAAAAACCGAAAACATAAATTTAACGAAGCAAAAAATTTACGGTCTTCCACTTTCCTTGATGTTGCTAACACACTGAACGCGCAACATTTAGCTTAACTGTGACAAAGTGTTTAGCAACATTGTTGCTACTGCGATTGCTCCGAATGCGCATCATCCATGCATGAAACTTGGTTGACTTCGTGTTAACTTGTCAAAAAAAAAGTTAAACGTTTGCTTTGATTAAATTTCGTGTTAACTTCGCAAACTCATCTTTGCCACAGCAACGGCAGCTCTTCATGTTGGCCGTGATCTTGGCTTGATCAGTTGTTGACTAACAACGCACGCAGTTAAACGCGTTGCTCTCGTAAGTTTTGCAACATTAAAGCCAAGCTTTATTTTTTAAGTTAAAAATAAACAAAAATTAATACTAATAATTTGCCTTCAAATCAACAAAGTTCATTGAAGATGGTTTAATTAAATTGGGCTCGTAAAGTGTTTTATTTTTTTTATTATGTGTGAAAAATTTTTTTTTAATTATTTTTTTTTTAATTAAAAAGTCGAATAGTGAAAAATTTTTTTTAATTAAAAAATCGAATAGTGAATTTAAAAATTGAAACGTGCTAAGTAAAATTTAAACAATTTAACATAGAGAATTTCACATTCAAACGAAAAAGGAAAGTTTTTGTGTGTAAATTTGTTCAATATTGTTTGCGATACAAATACAAAAAAACGAAAACAAAAAAAATAATAAATACAAAAAATTAAAAAAATAATAACAATAAATAAACGGAAAAATATAAAAAATTGTGTTAAAGTGTTAAGCTGCCGAGCGTACCGAATTGCTTTGGACAGACCAATTTTTAACGTCTTTGTAGGTTGCAGTCTTTTGATTTCTATGACAATTGCAATTGTTCGAAATTTTGTCAAAGCACTTCAAATGGTCTTACCAGTCCTAACAATAATAATTTCTAGTGTTCAAAAACAGATTTATTACTTTTTAAGCTTAAAATTGTATATTCAGTTAACAATAACAAAAAAAAACGATATTGTAAGCTAAAAAAAAATAATATTGACTATAACAAAGAAATAAATAGAATTCCATTAAGACATCCAAAATAAATAGATTATTCTTATGAAAAAAAAATATAAAGTTAATAACATAGTTAGAAAAATAAGTTCTTATTATATATAAAATACATATTTTCAATGGAGGTCAAATAAACCATTTAATTTGAAACTTGTCCATACCAAATTGGCGAATGATAATAAAAACGTTCAAATTTAGACTTCATTTGTGCTACTTTCCAAGTGGTGTAGGCATTTTTGCGCTGATTAACGTAGAACCATTATTAATGCCATAAAATCAGTTACACCTAAGTAATCACTTTTAACACAACATTTTTGTTGAAAGTAACATTAGATAGAATATAGAATTTTTCCCGCTAACAAAACAAGAAACACAATTTTGAATACAATAAAAAAATTAAAGTCTAGCTTCCCAATGGAACAGACCATAGCGACCATAGAAGATCCTCATATTAATAAATAACTAGCCGAAAAGGAGGCATTATACCTAGTTAAATAATTTCTGCAGTCAGGCGTAAACAGAAGCTTCTACCCTAAAATCCTGCGCTTAATCTCGTAAAGTAAGAGTAAAGCTTCCAGAGTAAAGCTCTGGACTCGTCAAATAGCTTCCACCTAAAATGCTGCTCTTAGTCTAAAGTAAAACTGGGCAATTACACAAAATATAACGGCAATTCTCGTTTACTGCTGGGCAGAGACAACATTTTGTCAAATTGAAGAGATTTATTCAGTTGATAATATAGCTTAGAACATGATGTCTTCACGGGTAAACCACCTTACTACTAATAAGAGATGTTGTTGCAAAATCAAATAAATCAACCATTTCTTTGGCAATGGTCAGTATTTCTTGTAGTATAGTTCCAAAAGCGAAATTTTTCTGAGTAATAAAATACAAAATTTAAACTTTTAATAATTTTTATGTCATATAACCTATCAGCAATCTCATCCTTTCCTACTTAAAAGTGGTGTTGTTTTATACTCAAATGTTTAACGCAGTTCATTGCCCCGTCGGTTACATGGTGTGTTGCTCCAATAATAAAACTTTTTAGCATAATATAATATAGCATCTTAGGTTAGGTTAGGTTGGAGCGGCGGTCTTGTATCCCAAAAAGCCCACTTGAGCTCAAATGATGGCCCATTGTGGCACCACAGAAATGGCGTTGGTATGTACATAGATTTAGATCAGTATGCATTCAAAGAAAGAAGGTAACGACTCCCCTATTAGATAAAGATATATACAGCATCTTAGTTTAAAACCATTTTTGTATATCTACTCTTCTACTTTTACTCTACTATCTATCTATCTTATCTCTATTCTTCTTTTACTGAGAATCAGTGTTACTTCAATTTCAAATGGGAAATCCATTTTCTTGCCCCATCGGTTATTGGACTTTTGTTCCAACAACGATGCATTTTGGGATAATATGATATAGTACATAATCTTAAGATAAAACAATTTTTATGTCAAATAATCCGCCAGCAACCTCAACTCCACCCTACTGAAAAATGGTGTTGATTTACAATTAAATTGCTATATATATTTTTTGGCCTTTAGGTCAACAGAGATATTGCTTTAATAGTTAAATCTTTAGGCATAATATACTACAGTTTTAGTTTAAAACAACTTTTGCAGATATTTGTAATAATCATATCCCTTTTTAAATTGTAAATGTTGAAACCCTAAACTAAATAATTTAGACAAATTTTAATATGTTATTAATTATTCATATATTTGTTAGGTTATAATTATTGAATTATAATTATAATCATTGGGATGCCTTCGAATTGCTTTTACCATGCCTCTAACTGCTATAGTGACAATTTGGTGTCAAATCATTTATCTATTATTACCCAGTATGGTAATGGTATGATATTACCCAGTATAGCTGTAAAAATCAAACATAAAGTACGTTAGCTTAGTTATAGTATGAAATGTATAGAAATAAATACAGATATATAGATTTATGTAGGATAAGTCGAATTGATCATGTTAAATAATAATAATTATTTTTACTGGATTACTACTATATACACCCTTTCAGTAGACTAGTCATTTTGGCATTTTGATAACTTATATCATTAAATCGCCTATAGTAATATTGTAAAATCTTATGGTGTGAAAGATTATATTATAATATACCTTTCAATCTATAACATAGATTATAATATGTATTATAATCTTATATTAAATAGAGGTTTTATTGAACTTTGAAATTATATCATGTCTTGAAACTTATATTAATTGAATAAAATATAATAAAAGTACTGGAAATAATGCTTAGTAAATATATATAAATTAAAATGCACTTATATAAAAGGTCAGACACAATTCCATATTATTTTATATAAATTCCATGCGTACATGAACAAAAGCCTTAATGTAGTAGCTTATCTTAGTATGATCTCTTATTTCTCATAAATTTTTCTCTAATATTTTTTTTAATTAAAAACACTTTCTACATTTTCTTGAAAATATATCCATTGATAGTGCGGTATCATTTTTACAGTCATTCTGAAAAATAATAATAAACTGCATGTTTTAGTGGAATTTATTTTGATGACTAATCTAAGATTCATTCAACTAAATTAGGCTTCACATATTTTTGATATGAAATATATGTAAATCTTTTATTGAATTGAAACTTTTTAATTTCCAAGATTTTTTAAACAGAAAGAAATGCTTTTTGCTTTATTGTAATAATTAAGTTTTCATATAATAATAACGAAATTTAACTTAACGACATCTTAATGTCTTTTCCACAGAGTTGTTAATATTTACTTAATGTATCATTTCTATACCAAAATATTATATTTGTATAACAATCATATATAAATTGAATAACTATTGATTACAATGGTGACATATGTAACCTATCAGTTACAATTTTTAATATAAGTTTTAATAACCGGAATTAATAAAAAAATGTTGAACAAGGAAATAATTTCATATTATATATAGCTATAATATATCAAATTGATCAGTTCAATTTTATCCAGTCACAATGTGCAGGTTATTTCCTTAACCTGAATATGTAAACCTAGCTATAGATAGATATGGCTAGATTGGTTTACGGTTGAAGTAAAAATACACGGTTGAAGAAAATAATATATAACCATAATATGAGAAGTAATACAAAACTTATAACATGAGCTATACATTTTTTTTATTTTTGTGTTTTAATTCCTTTTTGATACAGGAGATCTATATATTCCTCATCTATTAATAGAACCTCAAAGTAGTCTCTTATTTATTCTCACTATAATTACTTCTAAAATATTGACTTAATATTGAAATGTTAGTAAAAACTTTAAAAATTGTTCATAACAATATTATGATGATGGCTTTCTTCGCAAGCGTTCATGTAGCTCCTTCAGCTTTTTTTTGGATTCTTCATGATTGGCTGCAGCCCGCTCCTCATGTTCACGTTTGACACACCTCCTGAGAGCGGCTTCAAATGAATTGCATGTACCAAGAAATTTTGCCAACTTATTCTATTGTAATAATATTAACGTTTAAAAATTATTTTATTTACTTAAAAGTTTATTGCAATATTTACCTTTTCATGGCAATTCGCTAACTTTTGAAAAAGCTCCATGCATTCAGGTGTGGGCAAATCTGGCTTCAAATATTTATTCATCTTCTAAACTCAACAATCTATAGTAATTATAACTTTTTTATTAATTAATGGATATTTTTATCCAGATTCCAATATAGCATACAATTGCAAAAAAAAAATCATTTAAAAGAAACTATAAAAGCAAATTATATATTTGACAGCACAAGCGTTGCCAACTTGAAGTGCTGTACTTTTTGTGTACAGTATATATAAAAATGTAGGTAATAGGTCAGAAGTATACACACATTTCCTAATTAAAACTTTATGTTACAATATTTTGTATTGTATTATATATTCATTTTTATATATTAATCCTGTTGTGCATTTTATGATTAATGCATATATGGGAGCGTTTTCATTCTACAACCCTGCATGTTAATTGAGTATATATAGTATGTTGAATCCGTTTTTGAACATTTAACTCATGAAACTTACTGAATATATATTACTATATTTAAACTTAAATTTATGGAACCTTATACCCTGTAGTAACCCTTAGTATATTTTTATACGGAAGTAACATAGATTTTGTGCGAAAATTGCACATATTGCTGCATATATGCCGAGTTAAGTAAAGTAGTCTAAACATCATATAAGATCATTAAATATTCATTATTTTTAGCAAAATTAACTTTGATTAATTTGTAATATATATATATATATATAATACAGCAGTCTGATTAGACAAGTATACTTAATTTATTAAATGTGTAATTAATTAGAGTTTGAATTATGCTTATGTCGTTATTTTCGTTATTAATATTAAATTATATTAAATATCTTTGGTCTGTATTTAGATCCAGTAATTAAAAAACAATGTTTGTTTTCTAAAAGAGTCATAATGCATTAATAATAAATGTATATAATTAGAAATGTATATAGTCCTTCGATTCACATTTTTGCTTCAGTTCCACAAGCACCTCTTATTCCTGCCGACATGGTGATTCGTAACCAATAAATCTTATGGATTCTCACCTGATATTGTGCCATAAGTTATAGGTAGAATTGCTTCCGAAAATTTTCAATAATATTGTTTGATTTGTATTGCTTTTTAATAGACTATTTTGTTTTTAAATATAAATAATATCGCACTGTACATAACAACATACTAAATAAATATTAATAATATAATATTGACATAAGTCATTATTTTTAAATATCAACATTATCATCGAATATAATATTATATCAGTAGATTAAGGCCATTCCATTTAAGATTTGTTACATATTCTTTATGTATTTGTATTTATGTATTGTAGTTATATCGACTAAAATGCGATTAAAATGCCTTGTAAGCCAACTTTTTCTAACCTATGGTATAAGCGGGATTTAGCCAAAGGATGAATATACTAGAAAATATATTTCTGGCGATGCTTTTACAGTTCACTCATTTAATTATATGTAGATTAAAAATATTGTCAAATATTATAAGATTAATATTATTTTACTATACCTACTATATCTTGTATTATCAAGAACCCCTAATCGCCTCTACATACATCAGAATCACTTCTTATTTATTCTGGTTCGAGCTATTGCAGTCAGATGCTACATACATAACATGAAATATGATTATGCCTTACTTGACAAACGTCTTAAAAAGTGGATCCTATAATTTTGGATAGATTTTTCATTTAAATATTTTAAGTAGATCTTCGTTAAAATCTTTTATCGCCTATGTTTTCGTATATATGTCCGTTCGTATGTATTTTTGAATAAATATTTTGTATAATCAGTTTATTTTAAGTAATTGTTTTAATTTTAAGTAATTACTGAAGTCCATTAAGTATTTGATATGTATAATCCGAAGACAATTAGAAATGATAGTTGATGACTTCCAATTAGAATTGCTTTAATATAATTTTAACAAAAAATGTTTATATTTCAAGAATTTATATTAAAACTTTTTCCCTTTTGCCTATATTAAGTTCATATTAAGAAAGCCAAAAAAACAATAAAAAAAAAATTAAAAAAAAAAAATAAAAATACAACATAATTTTATTGTAAACAAATGTAATGATAATTAATTTAGTTAAACGTTATAATTTATATATTTAATTCCGATCTTATCATGACTAATAAAATATATCTTCATAACTTTTGATGCGGCTAACTCAAAGAGCTTAATCTCTACCAACTTCAAATAGTTGTGTTAAATATTTTAAATAAAACGCTAATATCATCTTATGAGAGTTATTATGATCTTAATGTACTTATATATCGCACTTTTTTGAGGGTTCCTAATAAATTTGAAAAGTCTTCAAATTTTTTGTTTTGAGATAAAGGTGAAAAACCTTTGCATGAAAGTTACTTTAATCGTTTTTTAAGAGATAATAGCTGCAATAAATATTATCGAAAGAAATTGCACAGTTAAACAAATTTAGTTAAAGAATTAGTTTAACTTTACTTTTAAAATAATATAACAAAGATACTATTCATCAAAAAAGTGAAAGTGAATTACAGATTATTGTTTGCTCACAAAAATGGATGTAATGTTTAGATAAATCTCATTAAAATATCAATTAGAAGTTAAAATTTGCAGTAATTTACAATGCTATTTATTTATTAATATTTATTCATTTATATTAATATTTATTTAGTTTTTGAATTTTCTGTAATTGAATCTAATGTAGAGCAAACAGGATATTGAATTTGGATGTATTGCAGTAGCATTCGCAAAGAAAATTAAGCCA